ATCTCCCAATTTTTTTTTTTTTTTTTGATAAATAAATGATAAAGAAAATTAGAAAACTATGTGGGAACAACTCCAGAAATAATTTACCATTCCACATAGAATGAAAAAATATAAAAAATAATTAAGTAACTTACCCTTATCTTCAGTTTACAAGGATTTTCCTCCACTTCTGCCTTGATGTTAGGCTCTGCACTCGACTCTTTCTTGATGTCATCAAATATCAAGGGAGAATCAGCTTTTCGTTTTTTACTTTCTACTGTGCTGCTACTACTACTAGCAGGGAAAGATGGTGCGTCAAAGTCTGTTTTTATTGGAGTCCATAATATGCTGTCTTCTTCTTCATGAATGGTCTCCTGCAGGAAAAAAAAACCCCGCAAAATTATGTGATATGGCATTTACCACTTTCCTCAACATTAGTACTTTTACCCCTGATGTGGTTTTCTGGAACCAGGTAGCTGATAGACCAGTGGAGGAACAGTTGCAATTTTTCAAATCCGTTAAATGCAGTCTATACCAAAATCTTCCCAGCCTACTGGCCATTCAAACGATAAAGAAATATCTGTCAGCCCAAAGCAGAAACAGTTGCCATTAACTGAACAATTTTAAATTTAAAAAAAATCTAGACTAAAATTTGACTGGTTCTAGACGTAGGCCCAGTGCTTATATTACAGGCTGTAGGTACCATACTAAGTGAGTGGATTACAATTACTGTGACAGAGTTAAGAGCACCTGACGCGACTAACTTATTATCAGTAATCAGTGTATGGCGACTTGAGTCATGACTCTTTACCTCTTCTTGGCCTATCTCTGACAAAGATAAAGACGGATGGACCATGGTTCTTTTTTCCTTCAAATTTAGCACTATTACGGACTGAAATTAAGGAGATATATTTAAAGGATAGAAGTTAAAGATCACAGCAATAACATCAAGTGTCACTTTATAATTAAAATTTAACCCCTTTCATAATACTCATACAGCCATTTCTCTACAATAATTGTGACATCAAATAAATTGTATCATTCTGTATGACATTTACTCTGTGCACATTTCCATAGTAAAACCACTTATCTGTACTCCTTTTTTGATAAAAAAAATTTACACCTATTGCCCTGAGTGTTCAAATCATGATATGGCCATGGAAAATGTAAAATTCTTTATACAAAATGCATGGTATATTGCTAGACACTACAAAGATCAACATGTCTGGCAAACAGCTTCAAGGTCAGTTGAAACTTGAGGGAGTATAGACTTAACAAAAACATTTTGTTTTTCATCCATTTTCAGACATGACTTGAACACGACTTGCGCCACAGTACCTCTGGAATTGGCAAACATGATGGCCTTGTGCGACCATAAAAAGTGAAATACAGGTCAGCTATACCACATCGCAGTCTGGCGTCATTGGATGTCCCGGAGCTAAAAATGAGACACAAAAACAACGTGTAGCTCTGTCTTTACCTTCATGAGGTTAGTTCACTGAACATTAACATCATTTGTTTAAACCAGTAGATTTATTAAAATTGTAAGGAATTTTAAAAATCAGTGTTAAAAACACATTGGTTGTATTAAAAGTAAAGAAACTTAATGGTTGACATGGTTTTCCATTAGATGATTTATTATTTTCTGAAGAAGATGAATACTGACAGGTAGAATTCCATTGATATTTGAAAAAATTGCTTCAGCTGTCTCTACCTGACAAATGTTCAATAAATTTTAAATTACACATTGTTTTAATATCATTTTAAAAATCATCACAAACAGCTGTACTAGTTTCCTTCTCCATCTCAAAATTCAACCAACTGTTATTGGCATATTACAAAGCAATATCATATTTATGAAAAAATTATGACGCCATACTTCATCATTCTCCATAGGCGTTCCACCAGCATCTCAGTTCCCATACTGCTCTTGTTGTCCTGCTTAGTGAATGGAGGGTTGGTCAGCAGCAGCTTCAACACACCATGCCTGAAAGCAATGCTCAAGTTTTAAAGAACTAGAAATAAAATTCTTAATTTGACATCCATATTTTTTAGCAATTTTACAAAGTAGGAGTGTTGATTGTTCACAATTTCTCATCTTTCTCACTTAATTATGTTTTTTTAGTATTATCTAAATTACCAGTCTTTTTAATCTTGTTGTCTTGTAGAGTGCATGCACTGCAAAGTTTGAAATTGTTTTGTAATTTATTTTGAGATTTTTATGGAACGTGCCATATAAGGATTTATAATTCTTACTTTCATGAAAATAATTCTACAGGAGTATCAGAAACTTCTCTCAAAGTTATAAATGATTCTGAAATGTTTTATAATGATTAAACCATTGACTGAAATAATAAAATATCACTTCTGTTTAAGAGTTGTCTTTGTTGCCACAAAATGTCTTACTTGATGTATGGATCAAGGTCGTCTTCAACTGTATCTAAAAGGTTATTCAGTTCATCTGGATCAGCTTCAACTATGAGCAAAAAAATATAGTTAACTCCGTTCTGAATTGTTAAAGGCTGTTATTATCAGTAATGGTAGAATACTGTCAGTAACAGAACACAAAGTATAAGCCTGCAGGGGAAACGGACTATTATATGCTAAATTTTTGTGCATTTGAAAATTGTTAGTCTCATCATTTGGAAATGTTATCAGGAAACCAATGACACCCCATAGTTTACCTTTAGTGTAATCCACTAAAGCTTCAAAAGCAGCTAGGCGAACATCAACAAAATTCCCAAACTGTGAATAACTTCTGAACAGTGCCGCATCACTGGGTATGTGGCCCATTCTCTGGAGCTTACGGATGGCTCGGAGACAGCTGGAAGAAAAGTTTTTTAAAAGTTATAAAAAAAAAGAAAACAGTAAGATGTAGAATGAATAATGCAGTATTTCACTGAAATTAAAAATAAGATGGAGAAAGTTGTGTCTGCTCTGAAATAATCTCTTACCTCACAGTAACTGTGTATCTGTAGCAGGGCAGCAGCTTTTCTAAGTTGATAAATCTTGTGATTTCCTCCAATACAAGCTTCATGTCAGGAGTGAGAGAAGATGCAGTGGGCCCTAACCTGAAATGTAACAGCCAGTAATGCATTTCACAGCCATATTAGTCAATACATCAACTAACAATTCTTTAAAAAAAAAACAGGTTTTATGTGAATTTCTATATGTAACTCACCTGCTCGGACTGTGTCCCATATGCCCATTGCACTAGCTGGATCGATATAACTCTGCTGGTCTTCTTGCTAAAGTGCTTTCAGTGTAATGAGCTTAATTGTGTGGCCTACCCCCTCATGTATCTATCGTTAGTTGACTATTGTTCATTACCCCCTAGCAGCTTGAGTAGTCATGCCCGACATTTAAGCCGCCTACAAAGAATGTGATTTAGCAAGAATCCCCGCAAAGTAAGATCGATCCAGTTTATACGATGGGTTCATGGGAACGCTTCAATAAGTACTTTAAGTAACACATATACCTAACCCATTCTAAACACTGAATGTCTATTTGTACAACTGTATGCTTACCCAGGTCCAGTAAAAGTGGTCACTGCTGGAGTTACTGTATTGGCTATGGCATCCACAAGAGTGGCTCGGTAGTAATTATCAGAATACTTAAAAATAAATACAGAAATATGTATTAAATATCAGAATATCACAACTAAAGCAAAACTGCATGTTAATATTTTATTAAGCTAATTGTTAATCAACTGCCATCTTTGATATGCCTTAATAATCCAAAATATAACACATTACATAATGCTTGTTTTGAAAATAAAGCTTTACATATTATACTTCCATAGACACTGACCTTGTTTTTCCTGTTGTCATTATATTTAAACAAGTCCAGAAGAAATCTGATGACATCAGGGGGACAAATATTGTGCACATTTCTCAGGTTGGACATGGCAACTGGGATGGTCTGAAAGGCCAATAAAACATTAATTCATTTCAATACATGTGTTGTTAAAATCCCTCTACACAATATATATTGTGTACTAAGATAAGTTTCGAATATAACACTAAGATAAGTTTCGAAATTCATGCAGATACGCCAGTGAGAAACTAAAACACTGACCTTCTGTAGGTAATAATGTTGAAAATTGGAAAAGTTATTTTGTTTAACTATGGATGGGCAGGTGTGGGAGCCAAACATCTTCCTGAATATGGTCATCATGGCTGGAGGCCCCGCCCAGTTGGCCACCATGGCATTAGCAACCTGGAACATAGGTCATGAAGTCACAGAATTAGAAGACGGCAGAAGTCAACTTTGTAATCAATTTTCAAGTTTGTAATAAAAAAATTACAATATCCTCCCTAATCAACTTAACATATTTCAAGTTACAAGAACCAACACAGCAGATAATCTACTCCTTTTCCATGCAGGGATTTAAGTCAAATGATGATGCTTTGGTAAAAAACCTTCTCACCCTTGCCAGGCACATAGCAGCCTCCATTCGCACTCTGTAGAAACACTGTTCATTTTCAATGGTATCCGTCAGGGACATTCTAGTGGCAGGAGTAGGAAATTTTTCAAGTGCTTCAATTGCCTGATATGGAAAAGATGTAGGAGAAGAATTTGGTAAGCAAATTCTTTATTAGGCATTATATAAATTCATTTATTCACTTTTTCTTATTATTATTTCATTTATTATTATCACTTTTGCCATCAACATACTTTGGGTTTTAAACTGCTTACTAAGAAGACTGCTGTATATCTCAAACAATGTACACTAACCACATTTCTCTCCTTTAGTCAAGAAAAGAATACCCAATTTTGTGTATGTTAAAAATCAGTATTAGCCAGATTTCTACCTCAAGCTGTGCTACCACATCTCTTTCATATCTGAGCTGGTATTGCCACATGAAGTCTGGCTGCTCCCAGGTCACCTGCCTCAGGATTGTCATGTCTGCATCCACCCTCAACCATAACACAGGGGAGTCAGCACTGGAGAACAGTGAGACACATAAAACAATACTTGAACTATACATATTACAATATCTTCATAGCCATAACAGAGGGATGTGGACACTAGAAAACAATGAGACAATTTCCACTACCTAGTCTACCTAGTTGCATGTAAACTGTCAAACAATTATAGGCAAAATTTGTCAATCCAACATAAAACTTTGCCTTCTACCTTGTTATAAAATAATGATAATATTGATTAATTCTTAAAATATCTAACTTTATATGGCTTCAAATACTGAAATTACTCCTTACTCCATTGCACTAAGGTCCATGTCAACCTCTTCCCCAGTCATGAGAGGAATCTTCTTTTTCTTGTTCCTATCAAAATAATGTAGAATAACCAACTTAAAAATATTATTATGATAATAACATTAATACAGAATCTGCTATCCGTACAAAATGTTCAGCATACACTCTAGTTAGTAAAAATTCAAAGGAACATCCAAACAGTGTAATAAAAATTATAAGTGACTAAATAAATGCAGTAAATTAAAAATCAAATTTGGTACATCTTTTTAAATGATCATTACGACCAGGATTTTTAGTAAGTCACCAAATTCTTCATATATAACAAGTCTGAGACATTAAGATGCTACTTAAATTATGGCAAATGTACTTTATCTTTTTACAAATTTACAGCTCTATATGGTTTTTGGCTGGAAGATATACAAGGTATTGCTTCTCTATAACTCTTTAAGTCAAGCAGTGTCATTATTAATTAGTTAATTAATTTATTAATATGCTAGCACATTGGCTGAATTTTTTCATGATATAAAAAAATTGCCAATAGCAACCAACTGGGATAACTATGAATTGTGTTAAATTCTCATTTATAAAATATATTTCCCATATTAATTATATACCAACTCAAGTGCTATCAAAAATGTTTCCTTAAAAAACTAATTGCATACTAAGTAACTGTCAAACAGGAAAAGTGAAATCAGAACTCCCCAAATAATTGGTAGCATTTACATAGAACAAGTAACAATAAGCATGTTATTTAAACAAACAATAAGACAATTGTTTTCATGAATTCGTAGTTTATAAAATAAACATCCTCACTCAAAATGACTCCTTTTCTTCCGCACATCATAGTATTTTCTGCAAAGTTTGTGTAGTAAAACAAAGCTTGGTCACTGTGCTTTTTAGACTTTTTTACTCACCAAAACACGGGTTTGACAGCCCGCCCCCCCCCCCTCCCCAAGGTCTTTTAACCTCATATCTTCTTGGTGATGACTTATCAACTTGACTGTCTTAGCCAAATATATTGAGAAGAGAAATATTTTACATATTCTTATACTAAAACGTTTCAAGTAACTCTCACATGTCAACCTAGCTTCCCAGAATAAAAGAGAAAACTTAACCAATTATTGCCTCAATAGACATTACCATTCCTAAATATATACAAATACAAAGGTATTAGATCAAAGAGCCATTTTTGGGAACCAAGCCTACACACCTCCTGCTCTTTGAATGGCAAGTTATCTCAAACTTAGTTTTGTTTTCCTCTATTTTGAATGTGTGGTTAAAGGATCCATCCAACTCCTGTATAGTCATGGTCAGTGGGCCCTAGAATAGAAGTCAAGAAATAAATCACCCACCACAGCAACTGATTACACCACCTACGTCAGCAATGACAACATAAACACCCTCAATAAATCTTGGACAAGTTAAGGACAGTACATTTATTGATACAATTATATATTGGTCTGTTCATGACAAGTTTCACATTTTCAAACTGCTTGGTTAAAAATAAATACTTCTTCTACTAAGAACTGAATATAATAGCAGTAAGTAATCAGATCCCCATCATGACAACCGACATGTCACCCTACCCCAGCGATGACAAGATAAATGCTCACAGCAGTTTGCCTCAACAAAGCAGGTCAAAAACATGCTGGCTTTAAAAATAAACCCCTTTCTTTAAATCCTGCCCACAAAACTTGTTATGATGAATAAGTACACAAGCACTATAATGCACACTGCTTTATGTTTGTTATCACAGGCCAAATGTTACCACACTGTCAATTTATAACTTTGTAATTTAAAAAGAATACTTACCACATACTTCATAGCCCCCTTTGCATTCATATCCTGTTTCAGCTCTAACTCAACAACATTTCTTTTACGATTAAATACAAAATTGCCAAAGAATCTTGCACAGCCACTCTGACGTCTGCTAAGAGTTAAGGTCTCTTTCACAGTTTATAACTGATAACAATTTTAGATATTCTGGAAACTTATCAATAATATATATATTGTGTGTCATTTTTGAGTACAACAGAGTATTTTTTCATCCACTTAATCACTAAAAGTAATTCACTCAAGATAAGAGAAAACATCAACAAACATAAAGAAAAGTGTTTTATGATTCATTACAGTTCACTGTACTTCACTCAATTTCCTTCTGAAAGGATACACCCACTGATCCAAAAAGACATTGATATCTTTTCCAGTAACTGTAGACTTGATTTTCAAGAACTGAAACATTAAAGCAATCTTGACTATAGAAATACAAGAATTCGTTTTTTTGCTAAACATTTAGGATAATACAGTCATATATTACCATGCTATACCAATTTTTTATACATAATATTCACTTTTAAAAACTAGATCGAACTTTTCATACTTTAAACATGCTTGATGTTAATGTATGCCGAACATCTGAATATGAAGGTTATTGACATTTATACTGAAAGTAAAGACTTACAGAAGTCATTGAAAGTAACATATTTCCCCAGATGTTAAAATTGGGTTGAAACTTTTGTTGAGAGGCTTGAATGGCCAATGACAGCAACTTGTTCAGAGTCTGCAAATAAAACATTCGATTAATATTAAAAATCAAGTCTTTAAACAAATCATAATGAAAATTTAAGATTTACTTACAGTGGTAGGATTAAAACAGTCTAAAATGCTTAAGTATTAAAGCTAGTTTTAATAACAGCAGATATTAAAAAGGCCAATATATGCAAATTCTTGAAAATTGTAAGTTTGATTTAATTGATCCAATAATTAGATGACAAATGAATATCAGAAGAAAAACAGAATAACCAATCTTCTTGGCATCACCCATAATTTTCGAACCAATTGCCTTACCAACATTATCCTGTTCTAAACTCATTAAAATACTCAACAATTATACACTTCAATGACACCTTCTTTCAGTTAAGCACCTAATTGTTACATGCATTTTCACATCCCATAAAAACTCTGAGCAAGGTAAGCAGTGGAATTTGTCAAACAAGAAGGGAGGGCTATTTGAAAAGAAAATGGCAGAATGAAGAGAGCAATTTCTTATGAGAGATCAATTTCTTTTAATTAAATTCTTTGAGGTTTTAATATCAGTCTGTATGTTAGAAATCTAACTGTATTAGACTTCACCTGTAAGAGCAGTTCTCTTCCTATTCTAATTTCCAGCATGCGTATAACCAGCATGGCTTTCCTCTCAAACATTGCCTGGTACCGCGGGGACACTGTGTGGGGGTGGTTCACAGGGAAATATAACTTAGCTGTGCTGTTTTCCTGAGCTGAAGGATCCAAGACAATCCCTGCCACCTGCTGCTCATACTCCTGAACACACTTCAGCTCCTGAAAATATAAAGCTTCAAGTGTGGACTTTCAGACAAAAAAGGGAAATATCTTAAACTTCAGAATTAATAATATATAACAAAAATCAGTTATAAATATTATTTAATTATGTACAAGTAGTGCATGCGTAACAAAATGTTCTACTTTGTATGAGAAAACTGGTGTTATTTCAATGTTATACTTCTAGAATAAGTATTCTTTGACAATTTTTCTTTTCAAACATTTTCAAACATTTTTCATGCTTTAGGAATCTGATCACATACTAGTACAGATAATAACCTTGAATATGTCTCATTCAAGGCTAGATGATTAAAAAAGTTTTGTCTATGGCACAGTTAGTTAAACAGTTGTTTTGTTGAGTTTGCGCATCAAAAATAACTGAAGTCAAAACATTTCTGCCATACAAAAATACAATCAAACTTCCACAAAGGTTAAAAACATACTCTAAATCAGAACCTAAAATACACATTGGGCGACAAAGGACAAATTAACCCTTACAACATTTCTCTCATAAGATTACTAATGGAACTAGCAACAGGATCTTCCATAATGCACTTCATATTATTGATAACTTTAATTAATTCTTTAATTCTCAAAGTCATAGAAAGGAGCAAGATCACTGTAAAAACCCACCACATCTAATGAAACAATGCTACACAGTATTGGTGGTATCACAAATGGTGGTCCCAGGTCTCACGTACTAGTAATTGTCTCCCTGCATGCAATGGGGACAAACCCATGCTGTGACAGTCAAATATACACCACCACGCATTAATGTGTGACATGTTTTAACAGTAGCATAGCTCTGCCACCTTTTGTAGTCTCAATTATAAGGGAAATGCACTTTATCTAATTGCTTTTATGTCATATTGATCATTCTGACAATAAGATTGAGCTGATGTATGAAAACGTTCCTAATCTCAGCAGTGGTAAAGTCTGTGTGATTGTTCCCATTAACAACCCATCAATCAACATGCAGTTGTTAATGCTTTGATTTTTTATCTTGATTGTTAAAAATAATTTTGCCACACACAGTGTCATTTTGTTCAGTCAATCACTGTGATCAGATTTATGGTGGTGGTGTTACAGTATTTTGTGAACCATTTATTTGCTTTTTTATGGTTACGAAACTATGACATGTGCATGCACCCACCACGTGACAATCTAAATGCACACATGATTATGTGGAGTGTGAGTGTCATGTAGCATTGTGTTTGATGTGACATTAAAGGCTGTGCTACAAGCAATCACATGCTTGGAACAACATGCTATAAACTTGTTCTATTTTAATAGACTTAAAAGTATTAAGTCAATGTACAATTCAATATACCTTAAAGCAAGACACATGAATAAACAATAAAATATATTGTAGTGACATAAAATTACAACAATTTCAGATACATGTAACAGCCCCAAAGTGCAAGTAAAGTTAATGAATGTTTTTGATTTACCTTTGCTATGTAATGCCTGTACTCATTGTTTCCAAATGCTTTCTTGATGTAAAGACTTGTCAAGTAGCCAGCTATTCCTTTTGGTAACCACTCATCATACCTGAAAAACAAATTGGATGTTGAACAGATAGAATCCCTGCAAAAACTTGCCGTATAGTTGATTCAAATTCAGCCCAACTGAAAATAAATTAATATCATCAAATATAAATAAAGAATAATTTGACCTTAATTACCAATCATGCTAAACAATCACAAAATTTCCTAAATTGTCAAAATATTTGTACTTATTTCACTAATACATAAACACTAAAACATGGCAAAAATTTGCATCTCTACAGACACCTGTCTTTAATTGCAAGTAATGTGCAGTTTGGTATTTTATCATGCTATCAAATATACTGCGTTGCAATTTTTTGTCAGAATGACTTACCAAGATTCCATGGCTATAAAACAGCCAAAAAACTGCTGAGCAATGGCGCCTGCCATGAGTGTTCTAGACACTGGAGTCTGGTCAATGATTCTGGCTGAGTGGAGGAGGTTGGTGCTGGAAATAGTACAAGCATATATATATATATATATATATATATATATATATATATATATATCAAAACACAAAAGAAATAGTGACACAATAAATACACTTAGTCATGGCTGTCATTCTACTATTAGCTAAATTTTATCCAAGCTGTTTAATCAAAAGAAATCAAGAGCATGTGAAATATTTATGAATAAAGTTTTAACAAAGATGTACCAATGCACAGGATTTTTGGTATTACAGCTTCTCTTACTCTTTACATCAAATGTATGTGTTATAAAGTCCATGTACATGACAGTATATCTTTTATCTCACCTGAATATTGTCAAAGTAGCATAGGGAGAAGCCTCAGCATAGGCCTGGTCCACAAACACCTGCTTGTAGCACGAGTATGGGTACCTGATTGACATCAGTTCTTCATAGAATTCAAATGCCTGGAATATATGAAATATGCCTTAAAGATATAAAGTATACCTATGAAAATGTCCCAAAGTCATATTTTCTATGTCTACCCAGTACATATCCTGCAAAGTTATTTCAGATCAGACACTTAGAATGAAATAATAATATTGGTATAAAACATTAAATAGGGACAAGTGTAGGGACCAGTCTAGCAATGATTCTTGAGTTAGAGAAAACTGTTTTTTTTTCTCAAGAAAAACTTAATGTTAAAAAAAATCAGATATGATACTTTAACTGTTTATTAAATCTTCACTGCCTATTAGTCCTACATTACCTCATGTAGATAAGCTGTAGAATGTTTGAGAATTGGCATAAGATGTGGCAGACAGAAGTGGGTCACTTCATGCATGTTGGGGTCCATCAGAATTTCAAATGGTCTGAAAAATTGAATTACTTCATAATTATTTCATTTTATTAGTATAAATCATACTACAAATTATCACAAGTAATGTGCAATTTTGTATCAAATGCCATCTTCAACAAGCTGACTCAAAATGTCATCCATGGCATTTTCAATAAAAAAATATATATAGAATAGAGTTAAATTCTTTAGGGAGTTTTAAGTAGAATCAACCTCAAAATAATATGTTCAGTTTTTGCTAATTTTCCTAACCTACACATGGCTGACATTTTTCTAAAAAAAATACATCTGAAGCAAATAAAATGCAGCCTATTCAAGTAATATTGGCAATGCACTATTCTTTATAAAAAAACAAACAGATCAATTATCCCAGTACAGAATATGCTTCACTCACCCTACAGCCAGAGCAATATTTGGTGCTGCAGTAGGTGTGGAGAGGAAATAATGGAATGTTTTCTTCTTCATGTCTGGTGTGTATACAGTTTCCACCAGATCCCCACATGATACTGCAGTCATGTTGACATCCACAGTGAACTCCAGCTTCCAGGTACATGGCTCAGAGTAGCTGTCGATGCATGGGAACCATAACCTGGCAAAACAATAGGGGTGCCCTGTTATCATAAAATTTTCAGATATATTAATTATTGTAATAATATGGGGATTCTGATCAGCAATTTGAAGCAGTGATAAAGTTTATACTACAGACTTTTACAGTAATAACAGGGGCGGACCCAGAGATATTTTCTGAGTCTTCCAAATTATCCTTGTTGATCCATCCTCCATTTTTGACCGTCTTCTGACAGAAAAAATTAGATACCCGTCAACGCAAACTTGAAAATCTGACCGTCTTGTGGAAGACCCAGAAGACAGCCTAAATCCACCCCTAAATAAGATGTGGCTGTCTCACCACCACTAAGATACTAATTGTTTTCATGTGAAATAAATATACAGGGCAAAGTGTGTAAATTACACAAAAGTCCACCTTTCAAAACAAAAAAAGAACAAAGACTGAAGACACAGCACTCTATGGGGTGGGGTGGGGCATAAATACAAATTCGAAATAACTGGATTGCCAGATAAATCCAGCAGATTTCCATCTCTAAATACACTACCTTGAGGAGTCCTCACAGCCATATGTGAACAAATGTGCCCCTCTATCTGCCATAGACTGATTGCTGTCTGTCTCAGGGACTACAAACTTGATGCCACCTAGGGGGGTCTCCAAGGAAAACTCTATACTGACTCGCAATGGCTTCAATTCTACAAAGGATGAAAACAAGATGTTTGTATTAGTATGAACCAACAAATATGGTGTGCAAATGTTCTTTTGTAATGTTTTTAATAAAAACTGTGAAATTTTAAGAAGGAATGCTGATCTTTATATCAAATCCTACAATTATTGTATATTAAATTGATTCACATATTTTAAAGATGCATACAAAGTCAATTTTTGGTCACAAAAACCAACCAAATGCCAGCATATAGTTTAAAGTAGTATAACTAAGATAATTACCAAAAGGCATTGTTTAATTTTACCCGAAAATGATGTTTGAACGGATTTTTCTGCTGGCATTCTAAGCTGTATGTCAATGGGGCAGGAAAGTAGGTCACGAAAGTAGGTTAAATTTACAACCAAAAATTAAAAGAAAGGAGCAGTCTAAAGGTCTTTTATGGCTGATCGAGTGATCTATTCAGTTTATCCCTTGGCATGTCGAATTTATTTAAGTCATATAAGAATCTAGTAGAAGTGGTTTACATGTGTTACTGGGAATCCACGCTCCACCGATGCTCGGTTCGTATGTACCTTTAAGAATGAAACAAAAAGAGAAGAAAAAGTCCCTGAATGGGCCATAATGAGTGGCACGCTTATTTTTTTATCCTATTTTTCCTGAAAAAGGAAAACAAAACAGTTTATTCTTCACTTTCAGTTTTGTTAATTTTTAAATTAAGGAAGATAAACATGTTTTAAATATGGTGACCTATTACCTACCTGATACCAGTGGGAATGCCTCAAAAGGCACCCTGATTGTAACCTCTCCATTGGCACAGTCCGGATCCACTGCTGCAGTAGCCGAGGCATGGCAACTCTCAAAAAAGTCTAAGTTTCTCCTGGACAAAAGAAAAATTAAATTTAAAACAATCCCACAATATCAGACTAAAAATGCAAGGTCAGAAAACGCATCATTTAATCTTTGTAGATCATCATACTTTGGGATAAAAAATGTTTCTAACCAATGATATCATTCAAATCCCATATCATTGTTATCTTTTTTAAGTTATTAATAATTACACAAATTTATTTCTTATTAAAGCACAACTAGTATTTGCCAAAAAGTTCATGCTTCAAGATGAAAGCAGCTGTACACCAATGCATTGAGAAGAAGAAAACCTACTGTTTGACATCCCCCTGGCAGATTTCCAGTGTAGGATCATTGTACAGGAATGGGGCTTCCCACTGGTCTTGAAAACATACTCTGTATATCCTTGAACATGGTTAAGGTGAATAATTCATCAAAGAGAGGAAAATGACTGCTATATTTAATGGAGTAAATAAATAAATGATAATCACTGTATCGGTCTGCAAGTCAATAATTTGTGAGTGTAATTTATTACAATTTTGATCCAATTTTTTGTCTTTCTGCAACAATATCAATGTAACAGTAGTTTCATTGTATATTCATTTTTTAGTCACATATTTATTTAATTATGACTATGCTTTGAAGGTTATCCTTAACCACCTAGCATAAATATTTATCAGCTGACTGGCAGGATATTTCCTTGTTTGCAATTTATCTTGATTCTTCTAAGATCTTGCCTCAGAGGATAGATGACCAATTCAACATAACCCTAGAAATATTAAACATAGACAAAAATCTAATATATATATATATTAGATTCTTTTATCAAACATACATTAAGTATTAATCAAATGGTTTAAAGGATTAATATATGTGCCATCTATTTAAAAACAACATGGCTATACAAGTAAGAGTTTGAAAATGTTTATTCTTATATGACTCTCTGACTACGGAAAGGAGAATCAAGATATTTACTAAGACTGATGTAATCTGTTATACTTACAATAAGCGACTGCAGCCGGAAATTAAATCCTGTTATACAGAGAACTTGATGAGCTGAAACGAAGAAAATTAATGCATTTCTGATCATGGCAAAATAATTCTGAAAAATCCTCTGCAATGTTTATTGTGTAAGAACAGTAGAATAATGTGTAATATAATCTTTCTCACTCTGATGGTACACTTATCTGTTCAGAATAGTTTTTCTTGGTATGTGTGTATATATGTATAATACAGTATTTATGTTTTCAATCTGCTTGAAGCTGATGAATAAACATACCCTATTCAAAATTTGTAGCTATATTTGCCAGTGCTATAAAGTCAATATTTCAAAGCATCTATGCCAGTAGAATTCATAACCTTGTCTGTTATATCAAAGATGTCGAACTTTCATTCTTGGTTGTAACTAAATTTACATTAAGAGTGCATTTAGAACAGTGGACTTACAGATCCACAGATCAAATATGACAACCCACTGACTAAAAAGCTTGCTGCTTAATTAGACACTAAACAGATTCCCCATGGGAATTAAGCAACAAGCATTCAAGTAGGTTGGCCATTTCTGAGCCACAGATCTGTTAGTCTACTGTTCTAAATGCGCTCTAACACTGCTACATGTACTACTATATACGAGTATACTAAATTTCAATGCAGGTAGTTGTATTCAACGGACTTGCTCTTTGGTCATATTGATGAGTGAACGGATCTTTGCAAATCAACAGGCTTTTGTTGTGCACTACCTCAGTTTTCAATTGCACATGCTAGGTACTTGCCACAGATAAGTACCTAACACATATCAGGTACAAAACTTGTCTTGGGACAAATAAATTTGTTTCTAAGGACAGAAGTGTACAGCAGGTCTAAGGCAGAAAGACAGTGAAAAGAGTGGAAATGCCAAAGTACTTAATGGGGCTTAATTGTGAAAGCATGTGTTCCTCTTAGGCCCTGATCCATGCATACTGTGTGAATAATTATAATTTATAAGACAAATTTTAAAATGCTGCAGTAACTGTTTCAGTGCAGTTAGTAGGTAGATCACAATCCGCTAGGGGCGCTACAGTCGTAACTGTCCACGGGCAGTGAAGTGTTAAACTGAAGTCGGCCTGCTGACAGTTTGCCTATGGAACCCCTTTTTTAAATCTCTCTTTTAGCGCTGCGTAAAAAAACTAATACAAGCCATTAACTAAATAAGTTGTAAATCAAAGAGTAAAATCCGGTCACATGATTTTCCCATGTTGCAGTCTTTGACAAGTTTCGGTTCTGCTTGTTTTAAGTTTTGCCTCTACAAAATGCTAAAAAATTTCAGGTAAGTGCTGGTATCATCTTTTTGAAATTTATATCCAGCAAAGTTTATGAAATTTGCTATATTATGTAGAAAAATCATGAAATTTGAAGGTTGCGAAGTATAGTTAATTTAATCCGCAATATTACATGATGTGAAAATTACCACAGGGAAATAGCTCTGCCCTGATTAGTCACAGGCTATGTGAGCCAGACAATAGGCTGAGCACACAAAGACACACAGGGTGCTCTGCTGCGCCTGAGTGATCACTGCTGGTCAGTGGGCACAGGTTTTGAGCTGAGAAGTGTGGACACTTTTGGTGGATTTTTGCAGTTAAAAAACTTCAATATCTTTGTTGCTTGTAGGAATATTTAAAAAATTCCAAATGATTTCATCCGGTTTTTGCATTACCTTTCAGATGATATAAGTATTTTAATTTTCTGATCAGTTTGAAAATTTTTCTGATATACCTACAGTTAGGTGTGCAAGATTCATAAGTTCATGTTTCAATTACCCAGTTTATACGGCCTCTGTGTATCTGCTCGCTTGCCTTCCTTCTTCATAATTGCTTGCAATTATGTTTTCTATCACATCAAAAATGGTCTGGACTTTGTAAAATAGCCTTCTCGCTAATTATTCATTGCTTTTCACCTGCAGAGTGGACCTCTGCCGCTCTGAGCGGACTCAACATGTTTTCGGTATGCCTAATAGTCTATTAGTTTCGAATAAATTATATCCCTATTGTGTTTCTGTTTCATCCCAACTAACAATATTTGTCAAGAAAAAATTCTGTGTATTGATTTACTTTTAAAAATGGCTAATTTTGTACAAATAAGAAATATAAAATGGACATGCATTTCTACGAATCTTTTATCATAAAATTGTTGAGCTCTACTTCGAGAGGCCCATCTGACAACTCACCAACTTACGGGCCGGAATTTTACCTCAAAAGTGCGTTAATTGACTGGAATATATCATTCAAGATCAAAGATTCATATTCGTAGGAACAAGAATATAGGGCTTTCGCAGTCATGGCAAGTCCTCGTACTAGAAGAGTGCTGAAAGAACTCAAAACAATTGACAATAACGTAAGTTATCTTCGCTGTCATATGCTCCCGTAGCCTCTGGCACTATGGCACCCCAGTGAGACTATAGTGTGTGCTCTCCATGCAGTGGTCACTTCTTATCTGATCACAATGTGAATGTTGTTATAGGAACGGTCACCTCAGTTCCAGCTTATGATGACAGTTTAGACAGCATTTTGATCGTGAAATTTAGTTACTAGTAACTGACCAAAAAAGAAAGTCGTATTTTGTGGCCCAGAGGCAAATGACTAAAACATTTTAGAAAATTTAGAACTAAAGTTTTAAAAAATCAGAAGAGGAAGATGGGGAATTCATATTTTGAGCCATGTGGTACGGAAGAAATGATGAATATAACAGCACTTGTCTTGAAGTACTGTAATAACCTCCTTTCCATTCATTTTATTTTACATTTTAAATTTTTATTAAAATAGGACTAAATACAGTTAATGTTAAACAAAAGAATCATATATGATCATGTACTGAAGTTATATAATCTAAATTTGTTGTAGTTTTCCTATTCTGTGCTATTGTGTGTTGTTCTACAGTACAACTTCATAGTTCTACGCCTTTGCTACATGTCCTGTGCCCAGTATCTGACTATGTATGACTAAAGAATGGAGAAAGATTGTATATAGGCTATAACATATTGCACTAGATAAAAACTTCTTACTCTGGTTTATTTGTTGAACAGACATATAACAGATATATTACATTAATGATCGCTGTTAATATAGAATGATGAATCTCTATTCCTGTTCACTTTCAGTTTTGCTTTGAATGTGGGACTAATAATCCCCAGTGGGTTAGTGTAACGTATGGTATATGGATATGTCTGGAATGCTCGGGAAAACACAGAGGCTTGGGAGTCCACCTCAGGTAAGTTATTTTTACAAAGTACACTGAATATAAATCTCTATGTGTGTGATTAATGTGTGGGCTGTATCTCCCACATTTTGTTTTGCCGAAGCTAATTAACTTTGAAGTCATTCTCTGGATGTTGTAAAAAGATTTATATTGTGTATAAATAACAATATAAGGTGCCCTGTTCTTTGGCTTCAGTTTTGTTCGCTCAGTTACTATGGACAAATGGAAAGATATTGAGCTTGAAAAAATGAAAGTTGGAGGAAATCGAAAGGCAAAAGAATTTTTCAAGTCCCAGCCAGATTACAAAGAAAACTGGAGCTTACAAGAAAAATATAACAGCAAATGTGCAGCACTGTATAGAGATAAGGTTTGTATATGTGGTATTTTGAATAGATTTTGATTCTGTGAAAGAAGAGATTCTGTGAAACTATAATTTATAAATAAGGTACATATTTTGTTTCAAATTATTGGCCATATTCTTTCCTGAGATTCCTGTAAGGAAAATGATTTGTTTGATTGGACTAAATATGCGTTTGAAGTCAAACTTTTTACCACAAAAGCTGACCAAATGCCACCGTATAGTTCCATATAGTATAACTTATAAAAATATCAAAAAATATTGTTTCATACTACCCTTAAAAGTAAATTTGAGCAGATGTTTCTGCTTGCTTTCTTGCTGCATAAAAATAGGGCAGATATTAAGTAGATCAAATTTACGACCAAAAATTTGAAGAAGGTGCAGTTTAAAGCTCTTTTATGGCTAATCGAGTGATTAATTGGTTTATCCCTCGGCATGTCAACTATATTTGAGTCTTATAAGGCCGCATTCAGAACAGTGGACTAACTAGTCAACGGGTCAGATATGCCCGACCCACTAAAAGTGACTTGAATACTTTCCCATGGGGAATGTATTCAGTGTCTTTTAGCAGATTAGATGGCAAGGTTTTTAGTCAGTCGCCACTCTAAGTGAAATTAACCTCTAACCTTTTATTTCAAATGAAAATCTTTAAATTGTGAAATCACTTAATACCTTTAACTTCAGATCCTGACTGAGGCCTCAGGCAAGCCATGGTCTGAAGCAACTTCCTCGGCCAAGAATTACGTTCCCTCCATGCCCCGTAACTTCAGCACTGGCAGCCTGCCTGCTGGTTCAGGAGGGAGCCGCAGTGGGTCCTCCTCCAACTTGCCCAGGACAGGGAGTTACAATCTCAGCAGTAATCAGGGGTACCAGTCTCAGCAGGATGATATGGAAGCGTGGTTGAACAGGTGAAATATTGCACTCATTTTAATTTATATAAACTGCAGGTCTGTGGCGGGGGGTGGGGGGAGGGATTACAATGAGCTGCCCTATTTGCTGGGAAAAGGTCCACCGTGAGTAAAATGTGATTGAGGTACATGAAGTTTTCGTGGAAAAATGTCCAATTTTTTGGAAAAAGACCCCCCTCCTTGAAATGGCTGAACTGTAGAGCACTTAACACCAATAGAATTGTCTTGTTTTTTTCATATAAAGTAATATTAATTTTGTTATCCACATTGAAATCAGTATATAAGAAAGACTATGAATGTTTTCATATTCAATTCTCAAAAAATTATTATTATAATTATTTTATTTTTATTATATCATAGTTTGTATTGATATTTCATAAGTCTTTTCATTCAGTTTTGATGTTAGTACTTATGTGCACATAGAAAAGGCTTCAGTGGCTTGCTGTATTCTTATTTGGTGATGTGTACAACATTATGATGGTATTTGTATTTCAGTGAATCAGTGGTCAAACAGAAGGAAGATTTTTTCAGCAGGAAGTTAGATGAAAATGCCAGCAGGCCAGAGTAAGTAATAAGAGGAAGGATTTCCAAGACCATATGTTATGATAATGTTGATAAAAGTTCATATCAGTCTTTACAGTGTTAATTTTTTTTTGTGTGCGTGCATGTGAGCGTGTGTGTGTGTGTGTGTGTGTGTGTGTGTGTGTGTGTGTGTGTGTGTGTGTGTGATCTAAATTTCCAGTGAAACTTAAACCATGCATACATGTTCCAACAATTTTATATATTTTTGATAGATTAGATAATAAGTACATTTTTAATTGTATATATAAGCACATTCTTAAAAGAGCTGTGTTATCTGCCCAGAATTTACTTCCTGTGGCATACCTGAAAAATGAAGCCCCTTCAATTAATTTCTTTGCAGTAATCTCCCACCAAGTCAAGGTGGCAGGTATGTAGGATTTGGCTCGACTCCCAACCCGCCCAAAAGAGATGAGGACTTCATGGCATCTTTGTCATCGGTAAGTAATATTGACTCCAGGGAGTATTTTTCTGCATTTAGTTCATCCAGTCTTTCAAAATCATGATAAGTTTCTGTGGTGACATTGTCTAGTGTTTCATATCCAGCAGTGAATTTTGTCAGTTGTGTTTTGCACTCAGAGTTACAGTTTCTCAAACTATTAGGGCTAAAGTGAATCATTACCACTCATATGTTTCATGCAAGACACTGAGCTTACCCATTGTTTGAAATTACTATTATTGTAACTTTGAAAACAACACACTTATGTTGAATGCATCTTATTTCTCATGCTCAACAGAGTTAATATTTAAACCCAATAATAAAGACATAATTACCTGTAGAATCAATGCATGTCTGGCAGTACAAAGGGCAGTAGTAGCCTTTGCTGATAATACAGTATTTACTCCTCACTTTCCAAATTTATATAAATAAGAAGTTTTCTCATAAAAAACACTAAAATGATTTGGATACAGTGTAAAACAAAGAAAAAAGAGAGATTTTTTTTTCACTGTTGCACCATCTGGAACACACAATTTTTGTGGTAATCGCACAACAACATCGCTCGTTAACCCTTATCTTTGCATGAGTCTGAAGGATCCAGAATTCACCGTAGATTGGAATTCAAGGTGTGTATCAGTACGCACTTTGAAGTATGAGACACGGCACCCTCTTGCCTGGTATGAATGCCTTGCTGATACTTCAAAATGTGTACTGATACACACCTTGAAAACTGGTAGAGTGATCCGATCTACAGTGAATTCTGGATCCTTCCATCCTGTGTCTGGTAGTTGGGATGGCATGAAGACTGATGCGTATAGGCTTGTGACTGCATTGAAAGGGATTGTGAAGCTGAGTGAGGGCTTCCCAACTACCACAATTACTAGTTTGTGTGGCATACAGTGTAAAAAGCATTGGTGAAGGTAGTCAAGGAGTTCTTAAAGATATGAAGATATGATAAATAATTTGCTACAAAATTATTAAGGTGTTCCTTACATAATAGGTAATAATATTATATCTTACAATATGTGATTATAGTAAATCCACGTAATACTGTCATACATACTGGTGTGGTGTTATCCGTTTGTATTAATACATTCAGAATCAGCAACATGCTTATGAGCAAATGATTACTTCTCACAAGTAATACAATATTATCATGTGGTTTGTCCAGTGCTTCACTAAACAATCTAATAATCTTTATATATTTTCTAGTTTTGAAACCATATTTTATAGCTACAATAAGAAGTGATTATTTTTAAACAGTCTAAAATTGCTTATAACCAAAATTAATTATATAACCTATAATGATAAAAAGATGTTGTCAAAATGATAAATGTGTCTTACTTGAATCCCAAAGAAATTCCAAAGGATTCCAAAGCACATGCATGTTACCATGCCAAATTTAATTATTAATAAGTGCATCAACTGTTTTGCCTGAGTCAGATAAAGAATAGCGCTTTATTAGTGGAAGTCTGGTGTCCTTACAGGATAGATTGGCTGCCTGTAAATTGAGTGTCAGTCCAGTGACATTAATATTCTAATAACTCACTTTGCAATATAGCAAATGTTATATAATTTCCCAGACTTGGCAGACACAATCAGGCCTGATGAAGGAAATTTTCCTCACATTAGGCCAAGATTATATTAGGTACTAGTAGAACACTGTGTTCTCAAACTTAGACAATAATATTGATCCTTTATGTGATGGAAATTTATTTTGACACTTGCAAACTGCTTTTGTTTCAACAAGCATAGTGAGTTCGAGCTTTGTTAAGAGAAAAGTAGGGAGGTTATGCTTCATAGAATTATAGAAATCAAAATCATTTGATCATGTTACCATCTAATTAAGCCTAAGAGTGTGGGTGTACATTACTAATGAGATCTGTTGGAACAAAAAGTTGATTTTTGCATTGAAACTGATCCAGCTTGTCTAATATGATATATTGTTGTCAGTGTCATCCACTTTTGTATTGCTTAACAAGTGCTTAATCAGCACTTATATTATGTGCTCTTTTACTAATATTATGGTTCTTCAAACAATTATTCAAGATGGATGCCTCAAATCTATCTGTGTTTCTTGATAATATAGGTGCATGGAATTAATTGATCTTTCTAATAACGATACTTGTACTAATAAATAAATGTAAGTCATCATTTCGGCTCTGAGAATTGTTCAAGTGTTATGGGTCTCTTCCTCTACCCAGTTGTTATCAAGCTAAAAAGCTTAAAAGGCAAGTAGAAGTCAATCTCTTCCCCCACATCTGCATCATAGGATACATGATTGAAAGTCTGTATAAAATGTACGGTTAATACATTAAGTAAAAAAGGTTGTTTTTTATGCACAGACTTAGATATATAATGTATCTTTATATATGAGGCAGTGAATGCCTCTGTAACAATTGTTGGATAACACAAATAATAGTTTATTACATTATGATCTTCTTATGTTGTCACTTCATTGTTTGTATAAATCAATGATTCTTTCAGAATAACAAAGTATACATTGATCTGTTGGTCTTTTTATCTGTTAAAATCCTACTGTAATTTTATGATTCTGTCCCCAAGAAAAATAAAACCAGTCTGGCTGTCAAATGATATGACATTGAATATATATATCTTAAATATGACTTCAGCTGTTTTATTATCTAGAATAGGCCCTATAAATCATGTCCCTACTTCTCACAGTTTCTGTGTTAAGAAACAAGATTGATTACTGTCCATGTGTCTTTCAGTTATGAGTGGGACATGTATGCTCAAATTGATTAACTTTAAATGCAGGTGGCAGTAGCAGTGTCTCCTGTTTGCTATTGCTGAGAACTGTCTGCCCACATCTTTTAATCTGTCTAGCTCATATCCCAGTAATAATGACAAGTGATGATGGATTAATAGATTTCATTTTGATAAATCATTGTCCATCTTATTTCTTATCAAATGCAGTTTATTATTACCATTCCTGTACTGAATTTTGCATCCTAAAGAGGGTGATATTGGGTTTGGTGGTTTTGGGTTTGAACTTAGAAATATAAAAGATAGTAAAAAATGGTGTTTAAACATATTACCTCACATCTGTGGAATAAGATTAAAGTTCGGCTGTCAAGCTACGTAGAAATCCATTTATATTCATGTCACATTCCTTGAAAGAAGACTGGAAAGTGTTCGATCCAATAGTGCGAAGGTGAACTATGTACTTTCTATAAAGTCAGCTGCTCGTTCTTTATCTAGAATAACCATACTGGAGGCAGACATGTTTAGCAGAGCAATTACAATATGTTTACATAGATAAAATGTTCCAACATTGAGTAAGTACACGACATGTTTTTAGCTTTTAGATTTAAACAGTAGAAAGAGAGATATAAAGCAGCAGCATTAGAAAATCTTGATAATGTCCTCTGCAGAGGTACATTTTTCTCTTGGGTTGTATGGCGCCAGCTTCAGTTAAACACTGGCTGGTTTCCATTGAACTCTGCCAATAAGCCTCCACTAATTGTATTTCTCTGTACATGGAAGGCTGTAATATACCTTCCACACACTTAGTCATTAAAATATGACAGCCCATCTGCTGCAGATTTTGCGTTATTACCACACAGATTGATGTATTTCTTTTATGAAGTAGCCATTAAAATAATGAAGTGCGGTGAATTCAGTATCAGTCCACAAAAGATGAAAATATCTGAGCACTAAAGGTAACTGTGTGATGTAGACAATTGCTGGTAGAATTATGAAAGGTCATCATCTTTGATACAAGACGAGTCATCTCGGCCTGAAAAGATCTGCCTAGCTGTTTACCTAGTGCAATACTTTGAATATGGCACTGGTCATCATTGAAATAATGATTGCTGGCATAGCAGAAGAGAAATGACACAATGTATTGATTTATATTCTTGCAGGGTTGGGCATCTTTCACTCTTGGTGCATCCAAGTTTGCTGCCTCTGCGTCAGAAAAGGTGAGTGTTGTATACCAGACTTGTGTGGGATGGATACATATGGCGGTGTGATTTTGACGTGTAAAAGATTAAGTGGATTTTAAGGGGAATATGAGACTCTTAATGAAAATTCTATAAAGACTTCGAAAATTGTCCACTTTTATTACTAGCACTCAGTGAATATCAGCAAAACTCTGTTCTAACTTTTTATGAAAGTGAATTAATACAGTAAAGATATATTTTGCCTGCTTAAATAAGTAGACATTTTAGCTACTTAATAGTTTGTAATGTGATCATTTAATAACTTTAATTTCAGCAGTGCTTTTACATTTTCATGTTTCCTTTAACAGGAATAATACAATATATTTCTCTCTGCCAATATTTATTAATAGCAATTTTTTGCCTTCATATTGTTTTCTGATGAGTTTTTTTTTTTCTTTTTTTATAATTGCTCAGAAAGAGGGTATGTGCTAGTATTCAACCAAATTGCCCCACTGTGGTTTATTCTTTAGCTTCTTTCTTTATCATTTTGATGAATGATGCTCTTCTAACTGTTAGGTTCACTAAAATAGACCCCACAGTGCACATTTATATGCCCACTTCTCTGCCTCAGTCACAGATATTAGATTTCAATAGAGTTAGTTCAGCAGATAAATGGTGACTGAAAAAAAGACCCGTGTATCCTTTTCACCTTGCTTAACATGTAAAAGGTATCACATGTCCCACATATAGTAAAATTGGTATTTTGTAGGGGGTAAGGAATAGTAGGTAACACCCCCATTGAGTAAAGAATGATGTAATCTAATCTACCCTGGAAAGTTTATCACTGAAAAGATGGTCTACACTTTATCTGCAGATCAACAATCAACGCAGCTGTGGGAGGAAGGAAAGAAAATCATATTTTATAACACATCAAACATCTTTTAGTTTCATAAATGATGTGATTGAATTTAGCTTATCAATGATTCAGTCCTAACTTGAGCTACGGTGACTCATATCTTGTCTGAAGAACAGGTACACTGAAAGACGGCAGGTATATTTTTTTTCTTAATCTTCACAATTATTTAGGCTAACTGGTGCAGTCTTTACTAACTGCAGGCTGATAAGTCTGATGCCAGGTGCTTAGTAGGATAAGTATGTGGCTTATTTGTGTGATTGTGCATACAAGTGTTGGTTTACGTCATTGCAGTGATGAAAATGTTCAGGTGACGAAAATGAGCTCTGTCATTTAGTTTCATAATTTATACACAGTGTCTGATAAAATGTCAACTGTTCCTGAAATCTTTTCTTTCTTTTGAAAAATGTGTGCATGTAAGATTTCAGCTAGTCTTGCCAAAGACTGTTACTCTCAATATGGATTTGGTGTCAAATGTTGACATTTCTAATAGATACGTAACTGCACCACTGATTATACTTATTCTCAAAGTTTCTGTGTAATTCATGCCCCAGTTTCCAGTACCATGAAAACACCAACATCGGAAGGTACATCATTGGTTTTCTGCTTGTTTTAGCAAAATGTCACTTCAATTTGCTACCTAATAAATTTGCATTGGAGACAATCCAGGGCAAAATTGATTCTAAGATGGCTTGACATTTAGCAAAGGTGCCAGTGCAGTTTTATTAGGTTGAAACTGTTAGATAAAGCTTATATAATAAAGGTGTGTTAGCCAGGAGTTATATGTGCCAGATGTGAAGTGCATTACTGAAATGACATTCTACAGTGGAAGTTAAGTCTATTATTTATGAAGGACTCAAAATCTAAGCATACTCAGTAGCTTTCACCTCTGAGTACATTATCATATCATCAAGTCCTACAGTGTGTACCCCCTTGACAAGGATATGCAATATGTTTGGATCATGATCATGCAGGGTACATATTTGCAGAAAAAAAATTCTCTCCCCCCCCCCTCAAGGCCCCTCTTCTTTCAAAAGGAAGTTCAGGAAAGTATGGTAGAATACATTTATCCATCTGTTATTTGAAAGTAGAGCTCTTTCTCCACCCATCTCTCCATCATTGCTGTAATGGATGCTGTCAGTTCTGAATTTTATGCCCATCTTGATTTTTTCTCACTTTAACACTTTGCCAAGGAGGTTATGTTTTCACCCATTTGTTTTTTTAATCATTTTATGTTTTTTTTTAACAAAGTTTTAAAGATCTTGTTTTTGATACCCAAGCATTTCATGCTTTTGGCAATCTCTTTAATAATAGTGTTCAAACAATCTTTTACAATCTCTTTCAATCGTGTTCAAACAATTCATTACAGTCTTTGTGGGTGATCCTGTATTCATTAAAAAAAATTTCTTATATCTGAATGACTCAAGACATAATTAGGCCTGAAATTTCATACACCCAACGACAAAAAAAGCCTGACATATTTTTGTGTGACCATTAAGGCATTTCCATGGAAATGCATGTCAATGATTTTTTTTGCCATTTCAGTTTGAACTGACCAATGTGGAAGGCAGACAATGATAATACAATGATAGTGCTAAGCTAAGTTTGCCATCATGTCCATGTTATGTGGTTATTGTGTTCTGAATTTTATGGCAGCTGTTCCTGTTTTTAAAGTCCAATCCATGTCCTGTGCCCCATTTCCACTTATGCAACTAGAATATCAATAGAATTGGTTCTGTTTTTAAGGAAGGTTAAGTACAAAAGGCTCCTTTCAAGCAGCTGGCACAAATTATCAATGTGTCCCATGTTTTGTGTAGTATTTCAGGTATGAGTGAGGGAGATTGCTGGCTAGGACAGGTGCACACCCTCCCAAGGTCTGTAATGCGGCTGTTGCAAGGCAGATTATATATATATATATATATATATATATATATATATATATATATATATATATATATATATATATATATATATATATATATATATATGCAATGTGAGGCATGAGAGTACATTCCCCCCGTGTCACAGTGTTATGTTATATGGCCTGAAGTACTTATAGGATTTTCAGTTCTTGCACTTTTAATTTCATGAATGTTTATTTCCAGGCGAGTCAACTGGCAAGCACAGCAGGACAGAAGACTAAAGAATTGGGTTCATCACTGAATGAAACTATTGTAAAACCTACCAGGAACAAGGTATGTATAACTAGAGTTCTTGTTGTTTGCCCAAAGTATTTTCCCTAATGAGGGCAATTTTCTGGGAAAAAGTAACGAGAGGGAATGTAATACTGTCTCTGTATGTTTGAAAGGAAACTATTTCTGGTTTACTGCCTATTTTCATCCATTTTCAAGGGATAACGAGAGTTCAAGTCATTTAAGATGAATTTAATTAAACAAAGAATGGTTAATTTATATTTTTTTACTTTATGAAAATATGACCTTATTCAATTCGGCAGCCTGCTTACACATAACAGCTTATTCAAGTTCACACAGCAGGGATTCTAGAGGAATAAGCTTTTCACAGAAACTAGCTATGGCTGAATACCCAACTGCTGCTGGCAAATAAAGCTATCTTTCCTATTTACCAATTTACCTTCAACCTTCAGATGGATATTGACTGAATAGCCTTTTAACTTCAGGCCAAGCTTTCAAGGAATTATTTAGATTGTTTATTGGTCCTATTTCACTCTTACTGGCACTCCTAATTTTCAACTTATAAATGGTGGTAGCTTTGGTAATAGAGATGTTTAAATGCATAACATCCTCCAGTGGTTATTTACAATTAGAAGAGAATGAATTGTTTTCATAGTATTCTAAAAAACATTCTAAAATGTAGAGGAGTGATATGAAAATACGGCTTATTTTGTGAACAGAAATCACCTCTTTACAGACATGTTTTATATGATTCTGCTCGAAACAAAACAAGTTATCTTATAGTAGTAAGGTTATTTAGTACAAGCTGGAATTTTTTCACTATTAACGTACAGCCAAAACTTGTGAGGGACCCTCATCAAGTCAGTCTGATAAAGGCCTCTGACGGGTTTGGAGTAAGCTAACTGTGAGAAAATTATCAGTTTTTGCTAAATAGCCTTTAATAATCCAACTATCAAGCAAATTAACATTTTGATCAAAACAAGTATGTTTTGGATGTTTTTGAGAAAGTGTAAATAACATAACCAGAAGGTATTAGTAAAAGGCAGGTGCAGGTAGAATATTCAAGGTCAAGGTCTACTTCTCAAATCACATTATTTGTTTTTACTTTATTAAGCGCACAGACATGGTGGTCTGGGCTGGTTAAAAAAATCAAAGGACTGAAGGATGTCCTGCACTTTTAGAACAATATTTCAGTCTGCTTCAGTTCCAACTAAACCCATTATGTTCTACTTTAATAGAGAAACTAGTGGTCGGAAACATTAGCCATTTCTTTCATGTAATAAAACATGCAGAGCATTTGATCCAAGGTATCTACCACAAATGTACCTTTCAAATGTCGACCAATTTTAGTTTACAGTTTTTATGTGAAACTAGCCCCATGGGGACATTTTTAGATTTTTTTTTAGTCTTTTTGATATTAGGTACTTCAGGTTTAGCCCAGAATCTTTTTTTTAATCAAATACAGGTAAAAAGAAGTAATATGGTTGTGGGAGTAAGTATCATGATTAGAATTTTAAGTAGTGTTGTTTCTAGACAAAATGAACCAGATTGATACACATTATTGCCATAAATCCATGTAATAATGGTATCTTTCCTTTTAACATTCTAAATACTAGGGGATCTATGGTTGGGTAAGGAAGTTGAAAACTTTCTTTGAAATATGTTTACAGTTATTCACCCTGTTACTTTGTGGCTTAATTTTGTTGTTGGTGTATCTTTTTGCATTATTGCTTTGACCTTTAATTGAGTTTTGGGAGTATTAAGTGTCTGTTCCTGTTTTAATGTACTACTAGTACCAGTGGTATAGCCAATGGATCATTCCACAGAATTTTCTCAATGGTGAGATATCCACTGAGTCAGTAGATTTCTCCAATTTTTTTTCTTTCCCACATAAATAATATAAATAACAATATAAAGGAAGAAAAAATTTGCAAGATTTATTTATACACACACATCTGTTAACATATAAAAAAATAATTGACAAAATGATTTTTTTTTTGTGTGTGTGTGTGTGTGTAATATTATGACAGAAATATGTGGAATGGCCCAAACTGAAAAACAAGAAAGTACTTCAAAATTCAAAGTCATGCCTCCTCTACACAAGGTATTTGGCAAGTAATTACATGTTTTGATTAAAAAAAACTATTGAATATTTGATAGGTTTTGGGTTCACAACTAGCATAGTCCTATCATGCCTACACAGAAAATTATTTTAATTTATTAAAGCTTAAAAACTCATTAAGCAATATTTTTTCTCAGAAATATTTTTTCTTATGGCCATGTTTTGATTTAACTGTACCTGGGGGGTTTTTGTTGTTGCATACAACCCCTTTTCAATATTTGAAGAGTTTATGCATTTCTGATTCTCACATTTAATTGCGTATTCAAAAGGTATTTACAAGTGTGCGTGAGCCATATTGCACTGCATTGTGGCACAGTTTTTCAATAATAACAACAAAGTGAGATAAAGAAAAGCTTTTCTGCTTTACAGCTGTCATTCAATCAGTACAAGTGTTGCCAACACTCTGTGTGAGTTAGTTCAAAGGTGCATTTTTAAAAGTTTCTTCTTAAGTTGTAGACTGAGTAGTGTACTTGTGCATGCTTTCTGTGTGTAGGTGTCTGATGGTCATTTGTTGGACAATGTATCTTCATCTGTAGGCAACTTTGCCACAAAGGTGAGTACGCTACTTGTTACGTGGGTACAAAAACAGAATAATTGGCTCAGTGAAGCAAACCAGATAATATACAGTACCAGGGACTCCCTCTCTTGATTGGGATTTTCAGTTTAACCTTTGTAAATCAACTGAGACTTGGGTAAATAAAACAGTGAAAGAAAACTGGTTTCCTTCTCTGAATTTTATGTAGGTGTTACTGTGAGGGAGAAACCCTGTGCCATTCCTTTCAAACTGGATTGCGGCACAACTTAGACTTAATAATTATAAGTCTTATTTTTGGCACAGAATCTCATCTGGTTTGACATTTATGGTGGTCATGAATAATGATACACACATTGTGAAAAAGAGTTAAGTCAGAAATTCAACACTGCAGACACAGCACACACGTCTGCAAACCATGGTGCTAAAGTCCAGGAAAAAAACGTGTTTAAAAAGATTGTGTCCCTTAGGAAGTTCATTTGAATTGCGCTGAACTAATGGCATCGAACGAAAACAAATTATCTGCGCAACGTGTGTAGTGTTAAAGGAGCAATCTGGATCTGTAAGAATGAATAGTCGATTGTATCAGCTTGGGTAATTGATTTGATTGTGAAGTTCCTCCTTATGCATATGTAAATTAACTCAAGATTGTGTTACAGAACTTTGTGGCTGTAAATGCAATCACTGGTTTTCGGCCTTGTGCATTAATTTGATTAGGAATTGATCAATGGATGCTTTCCTTGTACTTCATCTAGGTAAAGGATGGTTCCATTCTAAATGAAATGTCCACAGGAATGAGCAGCTTGGCATCAAAGGTGAGTCATTTTGCAAACCTTAAGCTTGGTTTATCTGCATTTTTTCTTACTATTTAACAAAGATCCCAATTTAAAATTTACATACAAAGTTTGCTTGGAAATTATTACGTGTAAACTATAGAATGTTTGAGGAGAAATAAGTTGCTAGAAGACCATGGTGTGTTCCTGAAGATTAATTTTGATAAACAGTTTTGAAAAAAGTAAGGAATATTTGAATTGAAATATGATTTTGACAGAAAAAACAAAATGTTTACTTCTGTCTCAGACATGGGGAAACTGTCTGTCCAACTGGTCTTGACCACTTCAAATGCCAGAGGACCTGCGAAAATTTTTAAGTCGCAGGTCCTCTGAACTGGCAAGGTTTGTGTGAAAGTCCAGTACATTATGATAAATTGCATGCAATCATAGACCTAATAAGATGCTAAGTTTGGACCAGCACAGAATTGGGTGGACCTGCAGATTTTTTGTAATACAGGTCCTCCGGACCCTCAGTATCTGCAAAGATTTTTTCTAATGACTGTTTCCTTGTTTTGTCTAAATCTAAAACAGCAATTGGAAGTAAATTTATCTGCTTACTTGTTTAATTTTTTAATATTGGTTGAAGTGAATGATTACTGAATGTGTTGTTGTTATAGTCAGCTGAGTGATTATTGAGATTTGACACATAAGCAGTAATGAATATATATGTGTTGTGTAGTGTGTACGTATTGCAAGCCACAAAGACGTAGGGTATAAATACATAACAAGTGATCTTCAGATGGAAATACCATCAATAAGTAACTGATACCAGCATTTGTTAAAGTTCTGATACTCTTTAATCAATGCTGGTATCATAGTCTTACGTAAAGAAAAGAAATATTAGGTATCACCATGATAGACTTGGTGTACCATCAAATGTTTCAGTTGCTTACAATGAAGTACAGACTGAATTTTAAGACAGTCTGAATTCTAAGGTGCTTTAAGACATCTTGACTTTCATTTATCAAATTGGCATTTTGCTTGAATAATCATTTTAAGGTTTTGCATTTGGTCATGCGTGTTATGATTAGTAATCAATAACATATTGACATATTAAGATCATCAGAAAGCTTCTACTATTNCCCCAAGCAGTAATGAATATATGTGTTGTGTAGTGTGTACGTATTGCAAGCCACAAAGACGTAGGGTATAAATACATAGCAAGTGATCTTCAGATGGAAATACCATCAATAAGTAACTGATACCAGCATTTGTTAAAGTTCTGATACTCTTTAATCAATGCTGGTATCATAGTCTTACGTAAAGAAAAGAAATATTAGGTATCACCATGATAGACTTGGTGTACCATCAAATGTTTCAGTTGCTTACAATGAAGTACAGACTGAATTTTAAGACAGTCTGAATTCTAAGGTGCTTTAAGACATCTTGACTTTCATTTATCAAATTGGCATTTTGCTTGAATAATCATTTTAAGGTTTTGCATTTGGTCATGCGTGTTATGATTAGTAATCAATAACATATTGACATATTAAGATCATCAGAAAGCTTCTACTAATCAAATGAATGTTAGATAAAAATAAAAACATGAACATCGAGAAAAAATCAAAGGGTTAGATAGAAGGCATTATTTTAAAGGAAATTGAGGTATACATCTGGCAATGAATGTTATTTTGTTGAAGAAGCTGGGATCTACAGAAACCAAGCACAGGAACAATACATAGTGCCTCGATACGAAACCAGACAGCTTTTGTGTTTTTAATCTCCAAAGACTA